GGTCAGATGGGGCCAGAGGCCGGGCTCCAGTGAGGTTCCCCTGGGTGTGTCTGGGGGTGGGGGGCCGGGAAGGGAGGGATGAGCGGGGGGGGGGAGGGGGACAGACCGTGTGAACGGGGGGCGGGACCCGGCTCTGGGCAGGCAGGAGATGGTGGGGGGCAGGGGGGTTTCTCTCTGGTTTTGTCACTTCAGTCTCAGAGACTGAATCATTTCCCCTGAATTCTTCCCCCTTTTCTCTAACTATCAAATATGGGGATCAAATCCATGTAGATCCCCCCTCGACACACACACACACATCCTTTTCTCTCCAGTGATTGTCCATGTCTCTAGTCTCCTGAGGCTTTGCCCTGGTTTCTAATTCTCACACGCTAGATTAAAATCTCCTCCGCCTGGGGAAATGTTCCCACCCGTTTTATGCAGCCAATTGCCCTTGTTCAGGTGGGAAATTGTCACCCTGAGTCATTCCCCCAAACTGAAAGAGGGGTTAGTGGGTGCAGCTGAGGGGAGCCTGGAGATGCGGCTGGCTCTGGGGTAGGACGGGGCGGCCCGTCGGACTCTGCCAGTAACAGGGCCTGGGAGGGACACAGGAGGGGAAGGGAGAAGCGACTGTTCTCAGTGGAGTGACCAGGCCCAGCTGCTGCCCCCCCCATCTCCCCAGTGCAGTGCCCCACAGCCACCAGCTGCCTGTCCCCTGCCCCTCCCATCCTGCTGCCCCCTCCCCACGGCCAGGGAGCCTTCCTGCTCCAGCTCCCCTCCCTGGCCTTCTTAAAACACCTTCACAAAGGGCTCCCTGCTGCCCAGGGGGATGGTGGGGAACTGTTACTGTCTGTGTATTACACAAACTAAAAACTACTTCCCCGTGAAAAAATAACGAGGAGGCCTTGTGGCACCTTAGAGACTAACATTTATTTGGGCATAAGCTTTTGTGGGTTAGAACCCACTTCATCAGATGCATCTGATGCATCAGATGAAGTGGGTTCTAACCCATGAAAACTGATGAAGTGGGTTCTACCCCTCAAAAGCATATGCTCCAATAAATTTGTAAGTCTCTAAGGTGCCACAAGGACTCCTCGTTATTTTTGCTGATACAGACTAACTCGGCTACCACTCTGAAACCTATTTCCCCGTGCTAATTTCCCCCCCTACTGTTACTCACACCTTCTTATCAACTGTTGGAAATGGGCCATCCTGATTATCACAACAAAAGTTTTTTTCTCTCCTGCTGATAATAGCCTACCTTAATTGATTAGTCTCGTTAGAGTTGGTATGGCAACCTCCATTTTTTCATGTTCTCTGTGTATATATATCTTTCTACTGTATTTTCCTCTGCATGCATCCGGTGAATTGGGCTGTAGCTCATGAAAGCTTATGCTCAAATAAATGTGTTAGTCTCTAAGGTGCCACAAGTACTCCTCGTTCTTTTTACGGATACAGACTAACACAGCTACCACTCTGAAACCTGTACAATCCAATCCAATCCTTTCAAACGTTCCCCTCTAATTATTGACCATCCCTCAGATCTTGGGGTTTTGATCTTATATTAACAAATATTTAGGTTTTGACCCATTTTTCTCCCCGGTTCTCAAGAACTGATCTAAAGTGCCCTGAGAGGCCAGGTGGGTGAGGTGACAGCGTTTACTGGACCGATGTCCGTTGTTGAAAGAGACAAGCTTTCGAGCTCCACAGAGCTTTTCTTCTGGTCTGGGGAAGATCCTCAGACTAGAACAGATTGTCAAGCATAAGAAATTAACCCATGTTGCCAGAAACTGTTCAAATGGAAGTGGGCAGCCTTATCTTACCTACACACCTAATTCACACTCATCGGTGATCCAGTCCAAACCCCGTGGTGCTAGTCCTGCTTATCTTTTACCAAGTCAAATCTACATCGAGCGACAGTGTCCTGAGATGCACTGGAAGCTAGATCAGATGATCTGGTGGTCCTTTCTGGCCTCAGTCTCTCTGACCATGACTCTTTGATTATGAGCAGAAATATCCCCAAAACCTATGAGGGAATGGTCTCCATGAGGGGTTGCTTCCCCCAGCGCTGAGATGCAGCCACCTCTGGGGTGGGTCAGTTACCATTATTTGCCTGGAAATGTCTTAAATATTTCGGCTCCTCCGTGCCCAGCATCCTCTTGTTCAAGAAGCATCCCCCCGAGCTCCCCGCTGCCGGTGTGGATGGCCGGCAGGTGCTGGTGGCAACTTTCTATCTATTTATCCAATCGCGATAGGAAATCACCACAGGTTTTGTTTCTCTCCCCTCAATCTAAGATGCCGGAACTTCATCATCTGAAGGGAAAACTGTTGCCCTGAGTTCTTATCTCCAGGCCCACTGATGGGGGGGGGGGCAATTTCCCAGGGGCCCGGGCGATTTAACAGGGCCTGGGGGCCCCCAGCGCCGGCAATGCAGCGGGGCTAAGGGAGGCTTCCTGCCCACACTCACTCCACACCGCTCCCGGAAGCAGCCAGCACCTTCCTGCGGCCCCTGGGAAGGGGGTCTCCGCACGCTGCCCCTGCCCCGAGCGCCAACTCCACAGCTCCCATTGGCTGGGAACTGCAGCCAATGGGAGCTGCGGGGGCGGTGCCTGCCGGCAGCAGTGTGTGGAGACCCCCTGGGCCCCCCCGCCTAGGAGCCGCTGCCAGAGGGGTGTGCCGGTCGCTTTTGGGAGCGAGGTAAGCGCCGACCCTCTCCTGCACCCCAACCCCCTGCCCCAGCCCAGACCACTCACCCACTCCTGCTGGGGGGGTCGCAGCCCGAGGGGGCACCGTGGGTGCTTGGGGGAGCACAGGTGCTCGGGGGGAGTTGGTGGGGCTGGGGCAGGGTCCCTACTCGGCTCCTGGGAAGCTGCGACCTCCAGCGCCTAACTCCACGTGCTGCCTCTGCTCCACCCCCAGCCCCGGTTCTGCAGCTCTCCAAACTGGAGAACTGGTCTGAAGTCAATAGGATGAAATTCAATAAGGACAAATGCAAAGTACTTCACTTAGGAAGGAACAATCAGTTGCACACATACAAAATGGGAAATGACTGCCTAGGAAGGAGCACTGCGGAAAGGGATCTGGGGGTCATAGTGGAGCACAAGATAAATATGATTGAACAGTGCAACGCTGCTGCAAAAAAAGCAAACATCATTTTGGGATGTATTAACACGGGTATTGTAAGCAAGACATGAGAAGTCATTCTTCTGCTCTACTCCGCGCTGATTAGGCCTCAACTGGAGTATTGTGTCCAGTTCTGGGCGCCACATTTCAGGAAAGATGTGGACAAATTGGAGAAAGTCCAAAGAAGAACAACAAAAATGATGAAAGGTCTAGAAAACATGACCTATGAGGGAAGATTGAAAAAATTGCATGTGTTTAGTCTGGAGAAGAGAAGACTGAGAGGGGACATGATCACAGTTTTCAAGGTTGTTACAAGGAGTAGGGAGAAAAATTGTTCTTCTTAACCTCTGAGAATAGGACCAGAAGCAATGGGCTTAAATTGCAGCAAGGGAGGTTTAGGTTGGCCATTAGGAAAAACTTCCTAACTGTCAGGGTGGTTAAGCACCGGAATAAATTGCCCAGGGAGGTTGTGGAGTCTAAGGGAGGCTTCCTGCCCACACTCACTCCGCACCGCTCCCGGAAGCAGCCAGCACCTTCCTGCGGCCCCTGGGAAGGGGGTCTCCGCACGCTGCCCCTGCCCCTGCATCATTGGGGATTTTTAAGAGCAGGCTGGACAAACACCTCTCAGGGATGGTCTAGCTAATACTTAGTCCTGCCTTGAGTGCAGGGGACTGGACTAGATGTCCTCTCAAGGTCCCTTCCAGTTCTATGATTCTATGATTGGCTGGGAACCGCGGCCAATGGGAGCTGCCGAGGCGGTGCTTGCGGGCGGAGACAGCATGTGGAGCTAGGAGCTGAGGGAGGGGCGTTCCTGTCGCCCTTCTGGGGAGCCCCCCCCCAGGTAAGCACCGCCCCAGTCCCCAGCCCTGAGCCCCTCACCCACAGATATCTAGTTACTCTTACCGGTCTTGTGTTTGGGACTTTTCTGTTGTTTCAGTGGCAGAGCCTGGAATGTCTTTCTGCAGGGAAAGCGTTGGGAGGGGGGTGGGCAAAGAGCCGGGATGTGAAGCTAACTAAAGCCCCTTCTAACATCTCCCCAGATGCTCCTCTCACCTTGACGGGCTGCAGAATAACACCCACATTTTGTTCCCGACCATCCGGTTCTCCTGTGGGACGGGGAAGGGCAAGGGTTGCACTGGCACCGGTTCAGGTAGGGACTGTTGGGGAGTTGCTGGTGGAAAGGGAACAGTTAATACATAGGAGGTGGGAGGAGGCAGAAAAATATGCTGTGGTGCAGAAAGAGGGTGTGATAAACCTGCTGGGACTTGTGTCACCTGGTTCCTAGAGTCTAGGAAGAGACTCTTAGGGTTTGGGGTTGGAAATTCCTTCATTTTTGGAACACGAAACAACGCCCCCTGGACAGTGTTGGGAAAACCTTCCTGACCCCTAGCGCTGGAGCCGGAACGGATCAACCAGTGGTTGCTGTGAGATAAGAAGGGGGCACCCACCAGTAGGGCTTAGGGGAGATGCTCCATCTCCTTGCATCCAGCTGCTGGGAATGAGGAGGGAGTTGGGCTTATTACCTGGGGGCCTGGAGCCTGCTGGAGGCTCCATCTCCTGTATCAGCCTCTGGCTAGTGAGTGAGTGATGAGGGTGAGGACCCCTGTCCCCTCTCTCTGCTGGGAGGGGTGAAGGTCTCTCTCTTTCTCCCCTCACCCTGATGCCTCCTGGATGCTCTGAGCGGGGTGGGGGTGGGACTCTGACTGCGAGCCTCCCAGAGCTTCCATATGATTGGCTTCTCTCCCCCACGAATAGTGGGGCTGTGAGTGGAGCAGCAGGTACTGAGTGTTGGACTCTTGCTCTTTCAGTGGCCGGTGACCTTCGAGGAGGTGGCTGTGTATTTCACCAGGGAAGAGTGGGCTCTGCTGGACCCCGCTCAGATAACCCTCTACAGAGCCGTCATGCAGGAGAACTACGAGACTGTAACCTCGCTGGGTAAGGATTCCCGTCCCCTCCATTCTTGGAAGGGGAAGTGACGAAATAAGGTTCACGTCACCCCCACAATGCCACCTCTCCTCTGCCCAGTTTCAGCATCACCCTGACATGCCAGTGACACGCACACTAACACTCAGCCCTCCCCCGTTACAGAATGCTCCAGGAACAGGGCCCAGGAGCAGAACAGGGCAACGTCTAACAACTTCTCTTTGCTAAGGCAGAACTGGGGTTTAGGTCTGGCCTCGTGACTGGAAGCTGCCTATACCTGTTCTGAGCTTCCTCCACACAAACCAGCTCAGACATGCAAAATCTTACCACCCATTTCCCCTCTCCCTGAGGATTCCTTCGGGGTCATTGTCTTCATTTACCCCACACGAAGCCCTGGAGACCATTAACACGTACGCCACCGGAGTGCTGACAGTCCCCATGGCAAGAACTCCCCCTTGTGCACCTTCACTGGCACTACTTAGAAAACTCAGCCCTGAAATGGGGCAGACTTGGGCCCACAGAGGTCACATACACCTCTCTGCATACCACGGTCACAGCTCTGCCAGGCTGCTCCAACTGCTCCCTCCACCATCCGATTACAGCTACAGCTGGCACAGAGCACACAGCTGCAGGGCATGCGGATAAATGCTGGTGTTCCCGTCTGTGAACGCAACACAAACAATGGGACGTTCTTAGTCCTTCCTCATATCTATTATAGATTTTTTTTAAGGCCAGAAGGGGATATTAGATCATCGCCTCTGATCTCCTGTATCACACAAACCATAGAATTTCATCCAGTCACTGCTGTACTGAGCTGAATACCTTGTGTTGGACTAAATCATCTTCCGGAAAGGCATCCAGTCTGGACTTGAAGACTTCAAGTGATGGAGAATCCTCCACTTCCCTTGGTAGCTCTTAACCTCTGCACCACCCTGACAGACACATTCGCAGCGGCTATTGCCGGCTCCAGGGTTTGTGGGTGGGGGCAGAGTTAAGGTTACAATGCAGGGGTGGAGTGTACTTTACCTCTTCATTTTCTGTTTTTTCAGAGGTTTAACTTTACCCACCGTCTATATGCTGGAAGGGCATGAGGCCACACTGGGCAACTGTAGATAATTCATGTAGTTTATGGACATTTGATTTCCTTGATTTTTTTTTAATGGACCTTTTTTTGCCGCTATAACTGCGTCTACTCTAGAGATTTTGCTGGCATAGCTCTTTCAGTTAGGGGTGTGGGGTTTTTTTTCACATCCCTAACCCACAGAGCTAAGTCTAAGTGCAGATCAGGCAAAAGTCTGCATTTGGATTTAAGTACTCTAAAATAGTGCTCTTAACCCAGGTATGTTGATATCAGAGAGCAAAACTTCCAAAAGGAACTCCTTCAAAATGCAATAAAAATACGCAACATACATTGTCCAAAAGCTGTATCTCAGGAGCCCCTTGATCAATTAAACCCAAATTTCAACCAGTAGCCCAGCTCGGCATGCCAATAAAGAGTAGCAAATTTCAAGACAATATGAGTAAGTGTAAGTCACTGCAGTTAGAATGATCATGCCAAACCAAGTTAATTTCCTTCTTTGAGAAGGTTACGGCCGCAATGTTCCCTCTCGTTTTTCCCATCCATGTGCGGAATGAATTTTGTTATGGGCACCAGTATGGAGGTGATGTGTGGCGGGGGTGGGGCCGAGGGGTTCGGAGTGTGGGAGGGGGCTCAGGGATGGGGCAGAGGGTTTGGCTGTGGGGGGGGTGAGGGCTCCGGCTGGGGGTGCGGGCTCTGGGGTGGGGCCAGGGATGAGGTGTTTGGGGTGCAGGAAGGGGCTCAGGGCTGGGGCGGGGGTGGTTTAGGCTCTGGGGTGGGGCTGGGAAGGAGGGTTTCAGGGTGCGGGAGGGGGCTCAGGGATGGGGCAGAGGGTTTGGATATGGGGGGGGTGCGGGCTCTGGGATGGGGCCGGGGATGAGGAGTTTGGGTTGCAGGCTCCCCCCAACCCTCTTTCCCCGCACCAGCACCTGGTGTGCCTCTCCCCACTGCAGTAGCTCTGGGGCTGGGGGAGAGACCATAAAGATAAAACAATACAGAAATGAGGATTTCACAACCACAACTATTGAGAAGTGAGTTCTTGCCAGACAGAATGCTAGCGAACTAAGTTTTCTTTAACCATCTTACGATCTGTTTCTTTATCTGGTGATAGTGGGGGCCATTAGGACGGGGGTCTCCTTCTTAACAGCCGGATATTCCATTGTTTTAATGTCATTTAGATGGAATGTGAGGATGTGACTTCCTGCTTCTCAGCCAATGGCAGCTGCTCGGCTGCTCTTTTAATCTGGCTGCAGACAAAGGCCTGATCCTTACAGGGCTGTGGCCGGGGCAGAGGTGCCTCTCCCCGGCTGCAGTCCTGAGCGCCTGCACGGCTCTTGATAGCCTGCTGCATGGCCGCGCAGCTTGGAGGGAACTTAGATTACTGGCCTAGTGGATGGGGGGAAGCAGTGGAGTTGTCATAGCTTGATTTTAGGGATAGTGATACAGCCCCACATGACATTTACATAAGGAAATGGGGTAGATGAAACTAGTATATGATGAGTGCACAACTGTTTGGAAGACAGTAATCAGAGAGTAATTATCAATCGTTCGCCCTCATATTGGGAGGCTGTCTCTTAATTGGTCCCAGAGGGGTCAGTCCTGGGTCCAGTACTATTCAATATTTTAATTACATGGACAATGGAGTGGAGAGGATGCCTAAGGGTACATCTTCACTACCCGCCGTATCGGCGGGTAGCAATCGATTTATCCGGGATCAATATATCGCGTCTCGTTAAGATGTGATATATCGATCCCCGAACGCGCTCACCGTCGACTCCGGAACTTCACCAGAGAGCGGCGGTAGCGCAGTCGACGGGGGAGCCGCGGCCGTCGATCCCGCGCCATCTGGACCCCAGGTAATTCAATCCAAGATACATCGACTTCAGCTACGCTATTCGCGTAGCTGAAGTTGCGTATCTTGGATCGATTTCCCCCCCCCCTCCCCAGTGTAGACCAGCCCTATGAAATATGCGGATGACACCAAGCTGGGAAGGATTGCTGGCATTTGAGAGAACACTATTAGGATTTAAAATCACTTTGACAAATTGCTCTGAAACCAACAAGATGAAATTCAATAAAAGTAAGTGCAAAGTACTCCACTTTGGAAGGAAAAAAATCAAATACACCACTACCAAATGGAGAACGTCAGTCTAGGTGGCAGTACTGCCGAAAAAGATCGGAGGCTATAGCGGATCACAAAGTGAATATGAGTCAACACTGTGACGCAGGTGCAAATAAAGCTCAGATCATTGTTTGGTGTATTACCAGGAGTGTCAGATGTAAGACACGGGTGGTAATTGTCCTGCTCTATTTGGTACTGATGCGGTCTCAACTGGAGTACTGTGTCTAATTCTGAGCATTACGCTTTAGATGTGGAAAAATTAGAGTGAGTCCTGAAGAAAGCAACAAAAAAACAAGAAATTTAGAAAACTTCACCTAAGAGGAAAGTTTTTAAAAAAAACTGGACTGTTTTAGTCTTGAGAAAAGAAGGCTGAGAGGGGGGCCTGATAAAAATGTTATGGTCTGCTATAAAAAGGATGGTGCTGAATAATTCTGCCTGTCCACCAGGGTAGAACAAGAAATGACGAACCTAATCTGCAGCAAGGGAGATTTAGGTTCGATATTCGGAAAAGCTTTCTAACGATAAGGGGAGTTAATTACTGAAATAGGTTACCGAGGGAGATTGCGGAAATCTCGATCGTTGTAGGTTTTTAAGAACAGGTTGGACAAACACCTGTCAGGGATGGTCTAAGGTTACTTTGTCCTGCCACAGGACATCTTTCCAAGGTGCCTTCCAGTGCTACCTTTCTACGATTCTATATCCTTCTCCACACACTGGGCAATTTTCATATTCCCTACCGTTACACCTGACTCTCTATAGTCCATAATTCCTCAAAGTGGGCTTTATTCACATCTAATACCCCTGAGATCCTGCATTCAGTGATATCCCTTCTGCCTCCTCTTCCTTACTGCACTGAACACCTCTAGCCCGTTCTCACCGGTCCCAGCTTCCTTAGGGCTTTTCCCACTATCATTGGGTCTCATTCTGTCAGTAAGAAGCAGTTTCAGGGGGACTTCCCCTCTGGCCGGAGTCTTCACTTTCTGGGCCATGGAGTTACCTACCCTATGTTTTAGGAGCCCCTTTGATGAGGAGTGTCTGGCTGTGTGTGTTCCCAGCAGAGATGGAGATAGGCAATTCACTCATAAGCAGAGGGACCTGCACCTTTGAGCATACGGGGAGCTGGCCCTGGGACTTTATTGCTTTAAAATGAGCTGGGGTTAAAATAATGGAACATTTTTTGGTGACAAATGTCCCATGAATTCCCCTGATCTCCCGTCTCATGAGCAGGGTTTCCAGCCTCCGATTCTGACGCGGTTTCCGAGCTGGAGCGAGGGGAGGAGCTGTGGGTCCTGGATCTCCAGGAAAGAGAGATCCTGAGAGGTAAGGACTCATTAAACCAACTCAAAGACTGGCAGTGCCTGAAGGAAACAAGAGGCTTTGCCTACCAAGACCTTGTGAGCTCTGCATGTTCAGTATTGTCCCCAGCAGGTGTCAGGTCAGATATCGCTCAGGGCTTCCTACCCATCCCGACCCCTGGCAGGAGCTCCTTCCCTTCCCTCTGAGTGTTTTCATGCAACGTAGAGGCAGACTCAATTCCCTCCTCTCTCCCCACATAGGGAAGAGTTTTGGGGAATTCGGTTCCTGATCATTTCCCCCCCATCTCTCCAACACTTTTGGTTTGCTCTCCGCGTTTCCATTCCTATTTCTGAGGTTTCTCTCTCTATCCCATCAGGTGGCGGGATGGTGAGTGAGAACACGGAGCCGATGTCTCAGCAGGAAGAGGCTGAGGGAGTGGAAGCACATAGGGGATTATCGCAAAGATCTAAAAGGAATGCGTCCATGTGTCGTGAGCAGGGAAAAGCCTGTGAGAGTCAGCTCAGGCCAGGGACGCAGCAGGGCAACCAGTCAGGGGAGAAAGCTGGTGAATCTATTAATTGTGAGGGAATGCACAAGGACCTCAAGGAATCCACAGCCCAGCAGAGAACCCTCATGGGAGATAGAAACAACACATTTACTGAGCGTGGGGAAAACTTCAGTAACTGCTCAGTCCTTATTACCCATGAGAGAATCCTTGCGAAAGAGAGACTCTATGAATGTGGTGAGTGCGGGAAAACCTTCACTCGGAGCTCACACCTTATTAGACATCAGAGAAACCATACGGGAGAGAAGCCCTATGAGTGCTGTGAGTGTGGGAAAAGCTTCAGTCAGAGTTCAGACCTTATCAGACACCAGCGAAGTCACGTGGGAGAGAGACCGTACGAATGCTGTGACTGCGGGAAAAACTTTATTTACCGTTCAGACCTTATTAGACACCAGAGAATCCACACTGGACTCCGACCCTACGAATGCGGTGAGTGTGGGAAAAACTTCAGCGACCGCTCAGACCTTCTTACGCACCAGAGAATCCACACAGGAGAGAGACCCTATGAGTGCAGTGAGTGCGGGAAAACCTTCACTCGGCGTTCACACCTTGTTAGGCATCAGAGAAGCCACACAGGGGAGAAACCCTATGGATGCTGTGAGTGCGGGAAAAGCTTTGCTGACAGCTCAGCCCTTATTAATCATCAGAGAATCCACACGGGAGAGAGACCCTATGAATGCAGTGAGTGCGGGAAAACCTTCATTGACAGCTCAGCCTTTAGTAAACATCAGAGGATCCACAAAAAAGAGAGACCCTATGAGTGCTGTGAGTGTGGGAAAAGCTTCAACGTGAGCTCAGCCCTGGTTAGACATCAGAGGATCCACACAGGAGAGAGACCCTATAGATGCTCCGAGTGTGGGAAAAGCTTCCATCAGAGGTCACACCTCATTTATCATCAGAGAATCTGCAAGGGAGATCAATAACATACAGATCTTGTCTATGCATGAAAAAGGATTTTTTTTTTCTGTAGGTCTTTTGCTACATAGTGACCTGTAAGGGTATTTACACCATTTTCTTTGCTGTGTTCCCTCAGCTTACTCACGTGAATTGCCAGCTTTTGCCTTTGCAATTCACCCTTCTTTGGAGTCTCTCCCATGGTCCTTATTATCAACTCCCTTGTCCTATGAGTATGTGTCCTTCCTACCAGATATTTCCATCAGCCCCATGTTGGGGAGATAGGGGTTATGACAGGTTCCCCTGGGTGCAACCTGGGGAACTGGGGTACTGGTGAGCCCTCTGTCTTACCAACCTGGGCTCCCTTTCACACTATGATGCTGTGACAAGCTGCAAACCTCTCCAGGTCTTGCACTTACACAGCCATCCACAGGCTGGGACACACCCAACGGAGTTACATGAATGCACTTCTAGCCACTCATGAACCAACAATAGAGAAGCTTCAGCCAATTTCTCTAGCTCCCCAGACTAGGACCCCAGGTCTGTACCGTCTTGCCCTGGTCAGAAGGCTGGCCAGTGTGAGTTTATAACCCAGTCTGGCCCTCCCTCAATGTGGAGAGGACATAGATTCATAGACTCTAGGACTGGAAGGGACCTCGAGAGATCATCGAGTCCAGTCCCCTGCCCTCATGGCAGGACCAAATACTGTCTAGACCATCCCTGATAGACATTTATCTAACCTACTCTTAAATATCTCCAGAGATGGAGATTCCACAACCTCCCTAGGCAATTTATTCCAGTGTTTAACCACCCTGACAGTTAGGAACTTTTTCCTAATGTCCAACCTA